AGCAACATAATTATTGTTGGAAAAAGATGGGACACTAACAAAAATGATGTATGCTTTAAGAAAAAGTAAATTTCAAATCAAAATTTTCTACTTCTTAGTTTACTGAATGACGTTTCTTGTTTTTCCCTTTTATCATAATTTTAGGCTGAGGCTCTGCAAATTTTCTGGGTTTTAATGGTTATTAATAGTTAACCTCAATGGCATGGCTATGATGAGCGATTGAAGAATAGTAATGAGCTTTGTTTAATGGCTAGGAGCTTATATTAATAGTAATTTATGTTTGGATGTGATGTATTTTCTATTATTGCGTTAAACTGGAGTTTTGATATGTAATTTTAGCTTTTAATATTTATACGTCTTATTCCAATGTAATAGGCGAGGCAAATTTCTTAGGAGGTGTAGCTTCAGTTAAAGGAGTGAAGGGATTTGACCTTCAGACGGCCAAAAAGAGTTTCTTTGAGATATATATATATATATATATATATATATATATATAGAGAGAGAGAGAGAGAGAGAGAGAGAGAGAGAAGGTGATATATCTTGAGCTTATTTAATTGAGTAAGTTAGTTTTGAATTGATGCCCTGAATCTAATTTTTTTGTTGGGTTGCATTGTTTAAATGTGGGGAGGGCTTTGGAAAATAAACTAATAATTCGAGATCTTATAGAAAAAAATGTAGGATTGTAATTTGGGATTGTAATTGATAAATCAGTCATAAAGATTTCGACAATTTTCAGAAAGCTCTTATTAGTGGAGGCTTCATTATACTTTGTTACAGGTAATGCTTTCTGTGAAAGGAAAGAGTATTACTTGTTTTGGTTGAGTATGGAAAGTGAGATTGAAAGGATGGGATGAATAAAGAGTTTGCCAAGAAATTAGTACAATTTGCTTCCATAGCTTCAAACTAGGATTTGTTTTTTGTGTCTCTGATTATCTAATGAGCTTTTAAGTGGTTTTTGTTGCTTGTTAATAATAGAGATGGCAATGGGTCAGGCTGGGATCGGGTACCCCTTGGCTCGGGCCCAACCCCAACCCCATGACAAAGGTCTGGGCCCAACCCGGGCCCGTCACGAGGATGATGGGTAAAGCCCAAGCCCAGTTCGATGGGCTTTTTGTAATCTCAGTCTTAGCCCAAGCCCGCCCATTTTTATAATGTGAATTTTATAATATTAATACATTTCAATTATATATATATATAGAATAATTATGTAATTAGATTTATAATATAAGGGTAATTTAGTAAAATTAATAGTAAAATTGTTGGGTCGGGCTGAGTTGAGTCGGGAGTAAAGACATATACATGCCCGGCCTGTATCCAAGGGCGGGCTTTAAAATCAGTCCCAAGCCCGCTAACATTAAGTAAAGCCCGGCCTTTTCGAGACAGGCCGGCCTGAGTACCCAGAAATACCGGGCCCCTTGTCATCTCTAGTTAATAACTTTTGCTTACTTTTGAAAGCTCAGCTTGTTTGATGAAGTCATTGTAGCTTTTAAAGAACTTTTGAAACTTGTAAAAGTTTTAGCTTGTTTGATGAACTCATTGTAGCTTGTTAAGAACTTTAACTACTTACATCTTCATGACTAATTAAGATTAGATTCTTAATTTGCATAATTTTAACTATTTATAATAAATTGATCCTCAACTTTTTTATTAAATTGTCTAGTGTGTGTAAAGGTGTCTTCGTTAGTTAAGTCACTCTGAGAATTTAAATTAATGAATAGTTCACTGATAAGTTGCAAGGAAATTTCTTAGAATAATTTGCCATTATCTGTATTGGGAACACCGATATAAAATGATTACTTTCAAAGTCCAAACAAGAATGTAGATATTGTCATATATGTGAATCGATAGTGTTTCATAGAGATTGCTTTGTTTCTAAAATTGTCTCTCTTCACTACTAGTATAATATAAACTCATTCAAGTCAGTTAATAATTCAACTCACTTTTGTTCAAATAGTCTCAAGCATTGACATGGAGGAGTCTTACTCTATAAATATGGATATGGTTAATGTGAGAGCAAGTGATGATGCTTCTAAGGTAATGCCTTCCCCTTCCAATACTAATATTACTACTAGTTCTAAAGGTAAATGTAAAACTTTAGAAGTTTGAATCACTTTGATACATATTTTGATGAGAATGGGAATGAGAGGGCTAGGTGTAAAGGCTCCAATAAATCTTATGCATATGGTAGTTCCACTCATAGGACTAAAAATTTGAAGTGTCATATAGGAGATTGTCCAACACGTGGCAACACTAATATAGGGCAATTATTGATTGATCATGATCATAAATTGCAAAGTAAAAAGATTAGTTAAGAGACTTTTCGTGAGAAAATGACATTATCAATTATTAAACATAATTATCCATATTCATATGTGGAGAATGAAGGAACTAAGGGTGTCTTTTTCTATTTGTGTAACGAAGTTAAGCATTATACTAGGAATACCACTAAGGTGGATTGCTTAAAAGTATATGGAAGGGTGAAAGAAAAAAACTAAGCTTGAATCAAAGAGGCTTACTAGTAGAATATGCTTAACTTCTGATGTATGGACTTTTGCTACATCTCAGGGGTATATTTCTTGAACGACTCATTACGTATATAAGACTTGGGTGTTACAAAGTAAAATACTCAACTTTTGCCATGTTCCTCCCCCACACTTAGGGATTGTTTTGGCAGATAAAGCTCTGGCTTTCTTACAAGAATAAGGAATTGAAAAGAAAGTTTTCTCTATTACTTTGGACAATGCAAGTAGTGATGATAGGATGGAAGATATTTTAAGGAACCAACTTTTTGTGCAAAATGTTTTGTTATGTAGGGGTGGTTTCTTCCATGTGCTATGTTTTGCACATATCTTGAGTCTTATTGTTCAAGAAGGGTTAAAAGTTACTAGTGTGGCTTTATAAAAGATTCGAGAAAGTATGAAATATATTAAAGGAACTGAGGCTAGAAGAATCAAGTTTGGAGAACTTGCTGAACAAATGGGTGTAAAAAGCTCAATGGGGTTGAGATTGGACGGTTCCACTAGATGGAATTCGACTTTTTTAATGCTTGAAACTACGTTAATATATCGTCCCATGTTTGTAGCTTTATCAATGATAGATCATAGTTATGAATATTGTCCATCAAATGAAGAATGGGATAATGGGGAGAGGATATGCAAGTTCTTGGAACCATTTTATGAGATTACAACTCTTTTATTGGGTTCCAAATTGTTAGTCGCTGATGGGATTTACACAGCAGAAAACAAAAATAAAATCTCCAACAACAACATTGAACCCAAGAACCTTATACTTAATTTACGTTATTTACATATGAAATGATATTGAATATAAAATTTCCAGATTTCATGCCAGCGTTTGGAGGCTCCTTCAATCGATACGAATCGCTTCCACTATAAGATAAGAGTGAACTCTCAGTATCCACACAAGCAAAAATGATGCATAATTTTCCTTCAAGAAAAATTCTCTTCTCCACCAAGTGAAAAACGTGAGAGAGAGTGAGGTGAGTGGCTGGCTAATCATACGCAGCAGGCTCAAAGACCCCTGGTTCTGGAAGGCACATGAGTCTGAACGCTATGTTGAATGTGCGACCGACACTACACTACGTAGTTACCTATGCAGGTAAGGCGTCGGTCGGTCCTAGAAATGGCAAAAGGATTAGATGTCTCCCCAAAAGAAAAAGACCTTTAAGAAAAAGAAAAGGGGATAAAAAAAAGAATAGGCTAGGCATAAATCGATAGGCTAAAATAAGAAATAAGGGCCAATGAGATAGAAATAATGAATCGAAACATAGAGTTCATGTTCGAATTCCATAGATAATATGATTGGTATTGTCTATAATCATAGACAAATGAAAGACTTTCTCAAGATTTTGAGATCAACTTCGACCTGCCCTCCAATCTTTATGGAGCCTGATAAAAGAATGGCACATCATGCCACTACCCAAAGGATATTATCATATTCTTTTTTCTTCGGAGGAAGATCTACGGTATGAACAGACAGGCATGGTTCTGTAGTCAAAGCAACTTCGTCACTTTCGTGTACCCATCGGACGGCAACCCTTTCGGGGGTTCCTTAGGGACCGATTCACTCTGCGTAGATTGACTGAACGCAGAAAGCCTTCCACTGGCAGGCGATCGTGTTTTTCACAGGATTTCTCGTTACTCATGTCAGCATTCTCACTTCTGATATCTCCAGGTGTTGTCACCAAAACCTTCCACGATTGATAGAACATCCTGCTACTAACACTTGAAAAAGTTGTTTTCAAGGTCTCATCGCTTCGGTGAATCACTTGAGCCCTGATACATTTTCGGTGCCATGGAGCCAGACCAGTGAGCTATTACGTTTTCTTCAGAAGCCACGCTTTGTTGTTGATGGTCATATCGAAAAAGGTTCTAATAACTTATGTTAGAAGGGTTTGTCCTCGGTCTTGTTCTCCTAACTAAGATTCCATTCTTCAAAAGAGAAGGTCGGCCCTTGCCCATCTGGAGGTGCACACCCATTTAGGAACATATGCAAAGGGATAAAGAGAAAAATCAATGGAGAACTACCAAATCCAATAACTTTTATTTATTCGTACCATTCTGTCATCGATCACTGCTGGGTCGGTTTGTAAGTCACCCAAAAAAAAGCATCGAGAAAGGTCAAGCAGATATGTTTTATGAAATGATCAGCGGTCTCATTTATGCTATGCCCTGCATCGTGTTCGTGTGTGTTTATTGAGCTTTCTTCACTTCAGCGCCATGCGCTTTGCTTCGCTCTTTATAGAAGAGAGAGATCGTTGTCTTGGTCTTGAGAGTGAAAAGCAAGCGCAAGCGATAGAAAGGATAGTCCCTCGCTCGTTCACGCGAACTACTCGAAAATGGTGAGACCCGTTCGGATAAGGGAAAACTCCAAAGATTGCTTCGAAGTAAGATCCTTGCGTTGACCCTTTCCTGAATCCTGAACCAGAACCGGGGGGGGGGTGTGAGAGCAAAAGGGGTTCAAAATGTCCCATGAATAAAGTGAGGGCTTTTTGGACCTTCTCCACCTCTCTTTTTCTTATTTTCCATGCTTTATGTTGGTCAACAACCAACCACAGTTTTTTTCTATAGTTCTTCACTACTCGTAGAGGCTTGACGGAGTGAAGCTGTTTGGAGGGAATCATTTTTCTCATTTATTTATTTTCTCAATCAATCATGCCTCAACTGGATAAATTCACTTATTTTACACAATTCTTCTGGTCATGCCTTTTCCTCTTTACTTTCTATATTCTCATACGCAATGATGGAGATGGACTCCTTGGGATCAGTAGAATTCTAAAACTACGGAACCAACTGGTTTCACACCGGGGGAACAATTATTTGAGGCCCCGCAACAACCCCTTGGAAGATATCTTGAGAAAAGGTTTTAGCACCGGTGTATCCTATATGTACTCTAGTTTATTCGAAGTATCCCAATGGTGTAAGGCCGTCGACTTATTGGGAAAAAGGAGGAAAATCACTTTGATCTCTTGTTTCGGAGAAATAAGTGGCTCACGAGGAATGGAAAGAAACATATTCTATTTGATCTCGAAGTCCTCAAGAAAAATTCTCTTCTCCACCAAGTGAAAAACGTGAGAGAGAGTGAGGTGAGTGGCTTGGATTTAATTAATGTGTTCACCCCTTTTATTTTAATTTTAAGTTGCCTTTTATATGCAACAAAAATTAAAACCCTAATCTAGTTAGGAATAAATTTATTCCATGACTAGAACAATAAATCCTCATTACCAAACAAGGTAATAATTCACATGACATCTTACTCAAATTCAAATATGATTTTCATATTCATATATTATATTTATTAATATCATCAAATATTAATATTGAATATATTTTTAAATTCAAATATGAATTTCATATTTCATATATATTATCTTCACTAATATTAATAGTAAATAATATATATAATATTTAAATACATAATCTCACTAATTTTAATTTCAATATGAAATTAAATATAGGCAACGGCCTCAGCAAATTTAATTGCACTGTGAGATCACCAAAATGCCCTTTAATCTCAAAAGACAAAAATATCATTTCCATCATAAATGACAAAAATACCCTTTCTTACCAATTCATCCTTAATCTGTTTTCTATATGTGTGATCCGAAGGCTCCTCATCATATCGGCAGTGAGTAGTCTCGCGATTGACACTAATCAATCGTCTCACTAAACATAGACCAAGATTGGCCTCTAGCAAGGCATAATGACCACCCGATAGATTCAGATTTAGCGAAACAACTTGCCTATCAACGATATGGTTATCATGCAAACCGATCATTTCATCATCTGTTATATCATCGAGGCTGAGGTACAGAAATAGTGTCAACCTCAGTTATCTTCGATATATTTGTATTCAGTTACTAGACCAATGACCGAAATAATAAATTGGATTGAGCAACAACTCAATTTCACTGTGGCCACAGCTATAGTGTCATTGTCATTCACTGAATTGCGTCGTGAGATAACTTATCCCGTACCCGAGAGTGATGAATCCTTTGATGATCCACCATAGTCTTGATACACTTCTCAATGCAGTCAATCACTACCATATTGATAGCTTTGAATAAAACTACGTTAGGCTGGTGTCAAACTACATCAATCGGTGCGCAAAGCGCTTCGGTGATCTCAAGTCTAAGGATCATATGCACTACCATTCGTTAGAGAATTTATTCCATAGACACTGGGGTTACCATTCATACGGAATCCTTTGGTGGGTTTGTCCAATGAACTTGCCTACAGCAAGCACCCATGTGTCACACCAGGTTGTCGGCAAAAAACCTTGACAAGTGAGATCAGTCACTGTCTTTAGACAGAGTCGTTCAACACTATGATAGTCTTACTGTATTATATGTGTCCTTGGTCAGAATAATACTAGGGCTACGAACATATCTAGAATGGCCACCATATGTGATCATAGGGTTCTCGCTATTAAGATTTGAAATACTTGGTACCCTCGTCACAGTTCTACCATCCTAAGGACATATATCAATACACGCAATCATGATTTACATGATATAGAAGAAAATTGTCTTTTATTGATTAATAAACATTATTTCAGAGAGTCAATTCTACAATAATTGATTGGCTCTAGGGTATCTACTCCAACACAAATACCCTACAACAAACTTGTACCTTAAATGTGCGTGGGAAATTCAATTGTGTTTAAATGAAGAGAGGATGAATGAGGATGAAGTTATTAGTAGCATGGCAAAACAAATGATCCCAAAATTTGCAAAATATTGGAATTCTTATAGCGTTGTGTTAACTATTACAATTATTCTTGACCCATGTCTCAAGTTTCAGTTTGTGGAGTATGCTTACAAAAAGGTTTATGATTTAATTACTGCCCAACAAAAGATGGAGGTTGTTAAGCATAACTTGCATAAGCTTTTTCAAGCTTAGGAGGTTCAATGTTCCAAAGGAGTTCCCGCCACACCTTCAGTTGTTTCTCCTAAGAGTGGTCATACTCTTAGTGGGCATATAGATCATACTTGTGTAAGTCACTATACTTTCTTATATTCTTGCGATTAATAAAGTATTGTTTATTGTTTAATTTTAACTTTTGCTACTTAACTATTTAAATGGTGCAGGATTTTGACAACTATGAGAGAGAAATCCGAATTGGATCTTTATTTTGAAGAGACAAGGTTTGATCACATCAAACATTAGAATATGGATATCCTTGAGCATTGGAAGAGCAATTGTGATATTTATCCAATACTTGCCATGATGGCTCGTGATATCATAAATATACCGATAACATCTGTTGCTTCGGAGTCCGCTTCTAGTATTGGTAGCAAAGTGCTCAACAAGTTTTAAAGCTCACTTCGACCAGAAAATGCACAATCTTTGATATGCACTCGGACTTGGCTATACGGATATGAAAATAAAGGTAACATGTTAACATAATATTTCATATGTTTTATTATTTACATTTATTAATATTTATAGTTGATAATTGTAGATGATGATGTGGATGATGATCTTCTTCATGTGCCATTAACTAATCTAGGGATTGCGGAATCAAGAGACTCTACTATCACCCCCATTGTGGAATGAACATGAGCTGGCCAAGAATATCTTTAGTTGAACAATGTCAAGTTAAATTTATGTTATGTTTTTATATTTGTGTTATTGTGTTTGGTATTTGTTTTTGTGTATTAGTGTTTATGGATTTGTTTTCTATATGCTAGCCAGTCTTAAATTGATGAGAAATTGAGCTGGTTGCGAACTTTTGTGGTGAATTTAATTGAATTTGGAGTGGTTGATTGTGGGGTGTAACTGTAAAATATTAAAAGTACAAAAATTGTAGGGTAATTACAAGAATTGAAAACTAGAATGAATAATGCGGGTACCCGCAGGTCCACCCGTACCCAGAAAAGGTAGGGTGCGAGTCTAATATTTCTGGACTGTTTAGATCGACCCGTTTTGGGCCTGTACCCGACCCACCCACCCTTTTTGCTAGGTCTAGTCGTTCCTATCCGTTGTTAGCTTTCTTTCACCGGTCAAGCTAACAAACCCCTATTTCCTCATCTTATGGAAAATGTAAGTTTAGATGACAACTACTGTAAAATGAGTATCAGTCAAATGCAATTTGGCCGCCAGAAGAATGGCAAGGCCTTTCTATGTAAATTATTTTTTTATCCATGCTTGTAAAATTTGGAGCAAGAGAGGTGATAGCATCTACTAGATTCTAAGCTTAGTTTTCTTGCAATCTTTTTTGTTTTCCCTTTAGCTTGTGTTTTTTGTGCAGTTTCGCTTATTGGTGGTTTTGTAGTGTTCAATCCCCAGTTTACTTGTGTTGATGCGCGTTTTTGCACCAATGAAATGCAGGTGTGAAATGTTGTCCGAACCCGAAAGACACACGTGAATGTTATGGATAAAGAGATAGTAAATGCAATGGGGACAATTTTTAAAGTGGTTCGGATGCTAAGGTAGCAAGTCCTACGTCCACTGATGCTTATATAAATGATAAAGGTCAGGTCGCTTTTAGCAGACTGACTTTACAATAATGTTACAAGGTATCTAATGCTGAGAATTCTAGGAAAGAGAGAGTAATTAATCAAGTGTAAAATATGCCAATCCCCTTTAATGAGAGAGGAGCTCCCATTTTATAGTGGGATGCCTTGAGGTAATGATCACTAAATCTGCAAGTTGGTGGGATTATCCGTGCAAATCCTTCTTTATGTCACATTGCCTATCGTCCAGAGTGATTTGCGCGATTTAGAGCAGGGATTGGACACGTGGGAGTACCGCAACTCTTGACTAGCCTGACGCGCACCCACTATCCAGACGGACGCATGCGACGGTTGTTCCAATGATCTGACTTTTGTGGGCTACATGGACATGACATCAGCCCTTGTATTTTTTAGGCATAACAGAAGTCCCCCAGTTTTTAAGGTTTGAGGATTGAACCTTAGAAACTACAGGTCGTGCCGTAGCGGGATAATTTCTAGAAATTTTAGTCTGTTTGAAACTCGCATGCTCAAGGACGAGCGACCTGATTTCGTGTGATGTCACCTGTTTGTTCTGATGATAGGAGGGCATTTAATAAAGTAATCCCTGCGCTGACAGGCGTGTCCCTTGCGCAGTAAATGCCAGCCAATCACATTTAATGCCTTGCATGCTGAAACGATGCGCTTTACCAGGACATTAAATGCATTATACATTGGGATGGCGCACCTTATCAGAGCATTAAATGAAGATTTGAGAAGCAATTAATGCTCTGAGAGAGGTATGGCCGTCGTTTGAGCTTTTCAACTGGAAAGATGAAAGTTTGTTTTTATCCAGTCATTTCGTTCACCCTCCCCCGCTGATGAGTGACACGTGGCCAAGATCAACGGTGAGAAGCCTTTGCCGCCCAAACGTCGTTTCGATTCCGAGAAATCCAAACGCCGATTCACGCGCTATAAAAACCCCAAATCGTTCTCAGGCAATGTCACCAAAGCCTTTTTCACAGAGAACAAAAGACTTTCGTAGGCCAGGAACCTTTGTCTTCCAAACTTGCATTCTTCCAGCATTTGAAGCAGAACAGTCGTCATACTCCGAGAGGTAAGAGCTTTCCTGCTATTATTTCATTTCTTCCATGAGTTAATGGCGTCGGTCTTCCGGTAACCCATCGGAGATTAGACGTTTGCACCGGGTTCGAGCCACGAGCAGCGGCTCAAATCATGCTGCTAGGGTTTTCTTTAGGATTTAGAGAGTTTATTTCCTCCCACATCATCGTACGAAATAGCGTACGGAGGCCAAATAACCCTTCTGCTTGTTGCTCTCACAGACTGGCAAAATGAACCCTTCAGCCACTAGATCCGAGCAGGGAACTAGCTCATCCCCGCAGGGTGCTGCTAGCATCCTTCTCGAGTTTTCTCGGTACTTACCGAGGAAGAACTCAAGAGGGTAATAAGCCAATATGGCATCGAGGTGGACGTTTTCCATGACCTGACGCACTTGTCGCGATACCCAGCAAGCGGCCTAGCTGCGATCTCCGAGGAGATTATCAAGGGTGGAGGACTTATCCCCCTACACCCTTTCATCAAGTCATTTTTGGACCACTTCAAGGTCGCACTGATGCAGCTGACCCTGAACGCGTACGTCATTGCTGTTGCAATGTACATTGCATGCCAGGAAAACGGGTTGGGCGAGCTGACCGTCTTGGAGCTTGGCTGCTCATATTTTCTAAAAAAGAGCAAGGACAAGGATTCGTATTACTTGTCTAGGCGACCTACTATTCCCGACAGGATACACAGTTATCCCAGCAATACGGGGGCCTACAAAACGAAGTTTTTCTTCTTTCGTTACGATGGCCATTGCCGCTTCCAGGAATGGAGTAGGCTTCTTTCTCTTTGCTTGTATTTTTGCTTTGGTTTGGCGAACTTATTGTGTTCGCTCTAACGACCTGGTTTTTTCTTTTTGATGGTTAACAAGATGACCGAAGTAGGGCTGCTCCACGATCGGAGAAGAATCGTGCACTTCGGCTCCCTTCCTGAGGACAAGCGCGACGCGAAGAAACTTGTGACGACCGCGAATTTACGAAAATACGGTTTCTTTAACAAAAGCGCGTCGTTAGAGCCTCCACCGAGTAAGTTCTGTTAACTGATTCTTTTCCTGGTCGTGGAATAGAATGCCTTCACTAACCTTGCCTTGCATGCAGTAACCATACCACCGAAGGAGCCAGAGCAGCCTTGATGAAGGCCTATCAATTTTCCTCGGTCGAAAAAAGCTAAGGCGGCCAAAACTGCTCGAACAGTCCCCCCAGCTGAGGGTGCGACCCTGGGCCAACCGGCGTGACCTTCCGAAACTTCTCAGCCGCAGCCAGCAGAAAATGCACTAATGCGAACCGCGAAGGTCTCTCACCCATCACCTGCTCGCGCAAGGATGAAAACGATGGCTCAGTGAAAAAAGAGGAAGCAGATTTAGGCTGAGGAATCAGAGACCGAATCTGAAGGCGAGCAGCTAAGGAGGCCGCAGAAGGACGTCAGGAGGAGGTCGGGAAAGGAACCGATGGTTGACACGACCACTACTAAAGGTGCGAAGACAGATACCCCAGTGTTGGACTTGCTGGGGAACCCACCGGAGTTTCTGCAGCCAGTGGTCTACACCTTACCGGAATGCGGACTCTCGGAATCATTCGAGCAGTTCACAAATTTTGGCGATGTCGACCTGATGTCCACGTCGATCCAGTACATAAGCAAGGTAAGCGAACTGTCCTCGGCGAGGACTATCCTTAGCTTCTTTTGATTGGCTAACTTTATCTTTCTTTGTTCGCAGGCCCTTCTTTCCATGCGAATGTCTCTGGAGAAGGCTCAACTGGGCGCCGCGAAGGGGGAGGTTGCACTGAAGGGAGAGAACGAGACGCTCAAACAGAGCCTGGAAGCCGCTAAAACGAAGAGAAACTTATCTTTCGAATTGGTGAACTGGTTCCAGAACGAAAGGGACGCGGCTCTTCACACAGTAGACTTCCAAAAGACGTAGCTCGAGAAGCAGGGGGAAAAGATAAAAGAGCTGCAAAGGACCATAGCTAGACTCTCTAAGCAGGCCAGGGAGAAGGACCAGGAACTGAAAGCGACCTCCCAGCAGGTCACACGAGCAAAGCGGGAAAGAGAGGCTTCTGAGAAGCTAAGGCAAGCTTTTGAAGTTGAACTTCAGGAAAGTTAAGGGAAAGTTGCTTCCTTGACAGAGGAGATGCAGAAGCAGGCTGTGGAGGTTAAGGAGAGGGCTGCCGAATGGGCGATCAAGTCTATCTATGCCATGAGGCCAAGGAATCTGTGACTTGACATGTTCGACCTCTCGGAGGATTGGCATGAAACACTTATGACAATGGCGTGGGAGGATGACGAAGTAGCGACCTTCCAAACAGGTGGTTCGGGACATGCTTAGGACAAACCTCCAACCAACCAGCCTTAAGACGTCGAGGTCGCCTTTTTAGGAGTCAATTTAGGGTTCTCAGCCATATCTTTTTGCCTGCTGTACTCCTTATTAATAAAATTCACATTTTGGACTTATGCAATTTCTGTTCGTTTCATTATACATGAGTACTTTCTGATTTCTTACATTCATTGTGTCAAACATAACTCACTTACATGAAAAGGATCACATATAAAGATTGTTACAAACGCCTAAGATAAAATTTTACAAAGAA